CCCTCAGTGGTCAGCTTTGTTCTTTGAGCGCATCTACCGGTACCAGTCATGGAAAATTTCTAAAAGAAGCTTTGGGGTCCTCTTGGAGTCGACAAGGTGATTTTGCTACCATCTGGTTTGTTTCTAATTCGTTTTAATTCAATGAATGCTAGAGAAGAGGCCCGGTAGTACGAAAAGCAGCAGCTGCCATTAATATGCCCCATCACCAGAGAAGTAGTACGAAAAGCACTGTGGAGTATCAACATCACGAAGAGCCCCGGCCCTGACGGTTACGGAAGTGACTTTTTCAAGTCTACTTGGAAGATCACAGGAGATGACATCACAAAAGCAGTGCAGGAATTCTTCAAAACTGGTATGCTCCTAAAACAACTTAATTCCGAAAACTGAGAATGCTTGTAATGCTGGTCAGTATAGACCTATAGCAAGTTGTAACATGCTCTATAAAATTATATCTAAGGTCATATGAAATAGATTAAAAATAGTACTGCATGTTTTAGTTGATAGTAATAATGTCGCTTTTTTTGAGGGTAGATTAATTTTGCACAACATATTGATTACTCAAGAACTTATTTAGCTGTATCGAAGAAAAGGGATTAGTAGTCGATGTATGATAAAAATAGACTTGCAGAAGGCTTATGATTGTGTTGAATGGGACTTTTTAAAGAATGCTTGCAAGGCTATGGATTTCCTAGGAAATTTACGAACTAGATAATGGATTGTGTAGGCACCACAACCTTCTCACTATGTTTGAATGATTCGCATGTGGGTTTTTTCAAAGGGAAACGAGGATTGAGACAAGGGGACCCAGTCTCGCCTCTGTTATTTGTGTTATTAATGGAATATTTGACTAGATTGTTAAAGGAGGCTGCTGATTTACCTGGTTTTCAATTCCATCCACTATGTAAAAGTATGAGATTGTCTAATATTTGCTTCACCGATGACCTGATGATATTTAGTAGGGGCTGATCTGAATACAGTGCAGGGTATTTAAAAGGCTTTAACTGAATTTTCTAGGTGTCTGGTTTAAAAGCTAATACTGTGAAATCAGAAATATATATAGGAGGGGTAGACGAAGAGTTGAAACAATGACTATGTGATCTTACTGGATTTAAAGAGGGGAAATTTTCTATGAAATATTTAGGTGTTCCCCTCTTCCCTAGAAAATAGAATCAAATGGAATGTCAGGAAGTAGTAGATAAAATTGTGAAACGGCTGAAATGTTAGAGCACTCGGCATCTTTCCTATGCTTGGAGGCTTTAAATGATCAACTCTGTACTTATGAACATGCATGTGTACTGGTCATCATCATATATTCTGCCTAGTAGTATCACAGAAGCTGTTAATCGTAAGTGTAGAGAATTCCTGTGGGGAGTACGTGAGTCTGGGAGATACTTTGCCCTAGTAGAATGGGAAACAGTATGTCATAGCAAATCTGAGGGGGAATTAAGTATTTATGATGCCAGATTATGGAATGAAGCAGCTATTCTTAAACAGCTGTAGTGGATAGCTAGCAATAAGGACAACTTATGGTTGAAATGGATACATAAGGTGTATTTAAAGCAGAAAAACATTTGGAAAATCTAGTATAAGCCTGACAATAGTTGGTCCTGGAAACAGATTTTGAAAATGAGAGATAGAGCAAAACAGGGGTTTGATGATGATAAATGGAAATGAAACAACAGGGGGAAGTATACAGTAACATTAGGTTATAAGTGGTTGCAAGGGGAAGGGCGAAAAATGCCTAGTGCTACTGTGATCTGGTCTAGTTTAAATGTACCCAAGCACTCTTTTTATAGTTTGGCTTGTATGGAAAGGAAAAATCTGGACCCGGGATAGACAAGCACAGTACAACATTCCTACACCAAATGCTGGCTGTTGTTTGTGCAAGGGTTAACTGGAAACAGCTGAACATTTGTTTTTTCAGTGCCCTTATTCGAGTGCATTATTGAGAAGGGTTAAAGAGTGGCTGAATGTTAGAACTCTGTCTGTGGAAATGAGAAGATGGAAAAAACAGGTTCTGCAAATCTGAAAGGGAAATAGGTTAAGAAGGAAGACCTTATTTGCAGCTTTGGTGGCTTGTGTCTATGGCATACGGGAAGAAAGGAATAGCAGAATTTTCAGAAATCAGACAAGAAATGAGGACATGAACTTCAAGGAAATCCAGCAGACTGTCAGAACTAGGATTCAGAAGTGCAGAAGCAGAAAGCTGTTGGCTAAGGAACGTCAATTTATAAACAACCTTCTATAACTTGAGTGATCAATTGTGCTCTCTTTTGCAGTGTAAATAGCATGTAAATAGGGTAATTTTGGTAAGAGCCTTGTACTTCACTGTTTCAAAGCAATATATACCACTTTACACTTTTTACCAAAAAAAAAAATGCCTAGGAACTGGAATCTCTTGTTTTTTTTGAAAGTGCCTTTTCTAGAAGAGTTCACAGTAGGTGGAGTAAATTTCATTGGGAAATCAGACTGAATTGAAGAGGAGATTGAGAAGTTAGGGCTACCATAGCAAAATTGTTCCTTTGGAAACATATATCCGAAATAAAAAGTGAAAAGAAAAAGTTGAAATGATACAAATAAAATATAAAATGAATGAATGACCACAAATTAATTGATTTTTTTATCGTTTAGTTCAAATAAGGGTATTAAAAGAAATTGTTTTTAATATTGATGCTGTTACTCTTTTTAAACTAGCTTTGTTGAGTATAACAACAAAGCTTTGATTAATCTACTAGAGTCGGGCATTACAAATTTCTCTTAGCAGAAGTCGAATAAATTTGAGATCTCGAATTTGTTTGCATTCTCATAATTTCAACATATCTCTTTACTGTGAAAAAGTTAATTGATGCAATTGTCCATTTAACAACTATATATCTCATCTTAACATAAAATAGCATAAAGCAAACAAGCCAAATCGAATAGAATCGTGATTTTTCGAAATAAATACTTTTTTGAACGAAATTGTCTGGTTTTGCTTCCATTTGCAGGCTTTTTGAAAAAAATAAAAAAGAAAAGAATTGGCTTGTTTTTTGCTCCAAAAATAACGAAATCATGCAGTTTTACTTTTCTTTGTGTAAAAATGGAAAAACAAAGAAAAGAAATTTTTATAACATACATTTATGATTTATCTATTTCATTTGAGACTTATGAAAGTCGCACTTATATCATTTCATATACTAATGAACTTAGATAGAACAAGAATTGCGCCATATTTCTATTGAAAGTGTTAGAAATAGAATCGCTGTACTTGATAAATTTGTGGTTTCACTTAGACAAGTGAAATATTGAGGCAAATCTATATTGATAATTCCCCATTTCATTACACTCTTCTCTGTTATACAGAGTGAAATAAATTTAAATGGTCAAAGAAATCTTACATGGTAGAAAGTTAATAATTATTGTGGTGGGTAGAATATGTAAAAGATGAGGAGAGGATTTAGAAACTATTGAACGTTGTTTCTTTCACTGTAGGGAAGCTAGTCGGGTTTGGCTAACAGTTTTCAATTTAGAATGAAAATTACAGTTACTCTTCTCTGAGTGTGGAAGGCCAGAAATAGCAGTACTTTGAAGAGAAAAGAGTTTCAGCACTGGATATTTGTAATAAGGCTATGGAGTTGTTGCAGCGACGGATTCAAGGGGGGTCAGGGTGGTCGATCGACCCCCGGCCGGTCGGATTTGGCTAAATTTTTTCTTAGTAGAATGTCCGTTATTTAAAATTTTTTCAGTTCGATCCTCCGGTGACGGTTGAATAATCTTATTTTCGATCCCGCGATTTGAAAATTCTCGTTCCGTCACTGAGTTGTTGGAATACAAAACAACCCGAATGCCTAAAAGATCTATGAGGCCTGTCGCAATAGAAATGAGGGAAGACTGTTGGGAAGCACCAGAAGCTGGAATGTTGAGGATTAATATTGGAACATTATGGATTTTAGTACAAATAAAGCTGGGTTGGGAATTATCATTATAGTTAGGAATGAGAGGGGGGATTTATTAAAGGCCACATCAATGTTCTTAGCCTCTTCTTTGAGTGACTTGACAGCTGAAATGAAAGCTATAAGGATGGCAACTAATGAGAAGACTATCGTTAGTTGGTTTCGAGGTAAAATAACTCCTATCTAGAAGTAAGAGTAGTAGTTGACGACATTTTTTTTTGGTTGAAGTCTTATTTTAAAGAATGTAATTTCCTTTTTATTCGGAAAAAAATGGAAGAGCAATGTTGTGATAATCAACCCCCATTGTGGTTAGAGGAGGCCTTTCAAGTTGATTGTTCAAGGCCGACTTAGATCGATTGTATTTGACAAATCTTTGAGTTTTTTTCCCTTATGAAAATGATTATCGTTTCCGACAAGAAAAAAATATTTATACGACAAAGTATTCATGATTCACTTTGATATATATATATATATATATATATATATATATTTTAGATACAACTCGTGAATTAGAATGAAATGTAGAAATGAACAAAATTAAAAATTTTGCGAATAACTATGAATTTACATCATTTAATGTACATCATTAGTATACATTATTATAATGGTAAATTGAGAATTTTTTGTTTCTCAATCCGTTCGCATTAATATAATGGATTGTTGTATGAAATTTCGGAAGATACTTCAAGTTGAAAATACGTAGTAGTCATTACAAATTTTTTGACAATTGAAATCCGAATAAGTACAAAGCTATATTTTAATGCCTAAATATAACATTACAAATGACACATAAGAAGACATAAGGTGATCGAATTTACCGAGTGTAAATCATACTATTAGTCCAGAACAATGGAGCTTTAAAAAAAGAAAAAACAAAAACATCAACCCTAATGAATCTCACTTAGATGTTGATAAAGTCTCCTGATGGAAATCAAATCCTATATTATCACTAGGAAATACAGCAACCTACCCACTAAATTATCATTCAATTTCCCATAAAGCTTTAGAATGATTCTAATCAACATTAAAGTGATGAAAAAAAGACAAACTATTACAATGAAAACCAATCTACAATTCACGAATTCCAATCAAATGTTGGGGTTTCCTATGTAATACATAAGAATTATCTTCTGGCTTGTAAATGTAGTATTGACTCTGGTCTGGTCCGCTGAATATGAATTCACCATTATCAGAAGAATCAAGATTCAAGAACAGATATTGTATGTAGATATTCTCATGGTCTTATTGATTCTAGATGTTTGAGATCCAAATAAATAGTCTGATTAGAAATATAAATCTATAAATTAGAGTAAGGTAATTAGTATAGTCTAAAATAGATTATTAAAATAAAAATTACAATGAAACTTTATTCAATTTGTACGTTTTAATTTTTCACTATGCAAGATCAATACATTTAATTAACAAATCATAGAAAAATGATCAATTTAACAGACAAAAAGGAATACAATAAGCAACATCCACGAACTTTGTCTCTAATTAATTGTAATTTGTAGAACATAATATATGATTATAGAATCTCATCTTTAACTCGAATCATTATACATTAGGACAGATGAAATTTAACAATCTGATTAAATTAAATTGTAATAAGACTCATTTAAGTTAAATAAATTCAGAATTAACTTGAATTAATGAAGATAGTGGATGGAGGCCAACCATTACAGTCAAAGAGATTCTGGTTGGCATCCAGGATCTCTTGGACCAGTCTAATCCTGCTGATCCTGCTCAGACTGAAGGCTATCAAATGTTTATTCAGGAACCCGTTGAGTACAAGAAAACGGTTAGGCAGCAGGCCAAGCAATATCCACCTCTTATTTAGTACAATGCTCATGTATACTTACTTTAGCATGGGTATGCCTTGCTCTATTTGTAAGCTACTTCTGATTAGTTGGCTCGATTTGTAAGCTACTTCTGATAGTTGAAAAATATAGATGTGCCGTCTAAAATTGGATTTGAAAAAAAAAAAAATACATTGCAATACCTAAAATAACAATTCAATAACCTAATTTGTCTGCCATTTAACAAAATAATTGAACCAGTCGTTATGAAGCATCATTCATCTAGCTATGGCGGCTGTTTCTCAACCAAACCAAGGAGAGCAAAGAAAGAAGAATAAATAATTCATTGACCACTGCTTAAATTAGAGGTACAAACTAAAGAACATAAGACAATTTAAATCATAATACATAGGTAATTCAAAATAGTTTACGGACAAACCTTTTTGCACAGCTAATAGTCTTGCTGCAAATCACAAAATCAATACTGCGCTTCGAAATCATAGGTACTGCTTCCAAAACCATCCCCATTTCTTTCAACACAGAATCTTCACAAACGGCGGATTAGTCTACATTTGAAAAAAATAGAAACAAAAAAAAATAAAACTCTATATATTTACTTTGTAACAACTGATTCAGCAAAATCTACAATAAGGAGATGAAAATGATTTCTCAAACCAGTAATAAACAGCCCATAAACGTTAGATTTATTTCACTTCTACCCACTTGGTTTTCTCCAGGTACACTCTTTTTTCCACCTTCTAACCACAGAGTTTTATCAATATTATCTGATTCAGCATCCAATCTTACTGCCGCCATTACAGACCATTGATTGCAGAAAACAACCCATAAATTTCAAAATTTAATAAAATGTAACCAGAAACACAATAATGTGAAACAAATCTATAACAATGACGCCCTACTGAAGAGCGAGCAGTTCTGGTAATACCTCGAATGTCTTCCTTCGCAGTCCAAGCCCGCAGAGCATCAATTGACAGAGCATCAATTCTGGTTTGTCTTGGGAACCCTTCATGAAGATAGAACATCACCCAAACTTCAAACAATACAAATTTAAAGTCACTTGATTGAGATAAATTACAGAACAATACCTGCCTACCTGGATTCTGTAATTTTTTCCACTTCCTTTAGACCCATAAGCTATTACAGATGCATTTCTACCATTGAGGACATCTGAAATCAAACGATTTATCTACCTTGAGAAAATGGAATCAATACCCTCATGTTATTCATAACAGCAATGCAGTCTATAAGCTCCAATGTCAACCACGGAAAGAAAACTTATGCCAAAACAAAATGGGATTAATATGAACCAAACTTCAATGATGAAAAGTTTTTTGAACGAAAATTACCCCAAAAAAAAAAAAAACAAACTTATATCGCAATCGAGTTTCTACGCTTTCACACCCTCCTTGATATCTGCCTACACGGAAAAAAAAATTAATCAAACAACTATCAGTTGACGGGTGAACTTAAAAAATCCATCAATCAATAAATAATAAAAAATAGAACTGTTGAGAGATTACCCATGATTGGTTGGTTACGGTTTTGGAACTGTGTAGTGATATTTGCAATCAATCCCCTTCCCTGCTTAGCCTGTATGTTAATCTCATCAGAATATGGCCAAATTTGAAGTTGCAAGTGTCTGTAAATTTCCCCAAAAAAAAACCAGATTAAAAGAAAATAAACAAAGAAACACTGAGCACGTAGAAAGAAAAATATTTGTGAGTCAAAAAGAAGAAGATCTTACCCGCGACCAAATCGTCCACTTTCGCCAAATAAATCACAGTCTTCACTATTCCAGAATCGTACATCACCACCGCTCATCTCGGAAATCTCATTGAACTGATAATGATTCCAACCAACATGCTTAGCCGTGTGTCAAGAGATCTAAACGTTGGCACTAAATTATAATGAGTAAGTTAATAAATCGTTGATAACAAACAGTTGATAAATTACTTTTAAAAAGTTAAAAATACTAACAATATTGAATGTAAACTAGATGTTTGGCCCAGGAATGCCCGGGCGCACCTTCTAAATTACTATTTTATTAAAATCTAATTAAATTACTATTTTTTGAGGAATTAATTTGGCGTATATATCATTTATACTATGGTTTGGGACTTAAAAAAATATACCTATAAATCTGAGGTTATAAGAAAATAATAAATAATTAGTTTATAAGGCATTATTCTTAATTACTGGATTTAAGTTTTTTTATTTTTTGTTTATATTAAGCCTGCAAAACTGTGCGATTGGACATTTGAATTTGAATTAATATATCCATTCGTTTGAAATGTAACTGATTCTTATTTGTAGAATTTTTTTATTGGATAAGTGTCACATTTAAAACATGTGTTTTTTTTTAAAAAAAGAATTATATAGCTTCTAATTAAAAGAGATTTACACGTGGCAAAAAGACTTCTGAAATCTGAAATATGGTGCATTGGAGCCAAAACAGATGCATACGTAGTTGCCACATAAGCTTCCATGTCTTTTGCTTTAATAGGGTAAAAGGGATGTGCTTGTAAATCGTGTGACCCACATAAACATCACCATGATTTCAACATTCAAGTAACACATACAAATCAGAGTTTAGTCGATATAACTTACAGCATAGAATTTAGCTTGTAGTCCCAAATGAGGCTGGAAAAGAAACTTATCCACCTCCTCAATAACAACAGCCTGTCAGAATAAAATTTTATACATGATTTTGACTCACTTGAATTGTATAGACAAACAAGAAGATAACTTTGAGAAATGTATCAACGTTGATGATCGGAGTTCCTTCATGCTTGGATGGAGGGTCAAAAGTTTTGGACAAATGAAAATCAGCATTAACCGCAACTTTTTTTCCGGGATCACCCACCTAAAGTCAACGGAAGGGGAAAAAGTATCAAATGAAAGATTTACACAAGTTATGAATTTACAAATGAAATGAAAGATTCACACAAGTTATGAATTTACAAATGAAATGCATCCACGCGCGTGTGCTTCACAATCTCTGTTACTGTTAGTATTTTCCATCCGCTTTACACATTTGGGAAAAGCATGAGGGGGTTCTTGTATGCTTTTGAAACCATAAGGGGGTTCTTGTGTGCTTTTGAATACCACGAGAGGGTTCTTGTGTATTACCCCTTAATTAAATCATGTCGCTCCTCCCCATTCTCCAATCACCATTTTTCTCCTTAACCGTTAAGGAGCCATAGCTTTTTTTTCAATAACCATCACAACTAACAATCCATCAATTGAAAAAGTTGGCCTCATCGGTAGCTTAACTTAAGTGATTATTTTCTAAGGAGAAGTTAGTTGTTTTATGATCCATAATCTCTACTTTTACTTGAACAATCCGCAAGTACGGTCAAGACACAACCGACAATTGAGAAAGGAATCCTTTATCAGAATAAGAATTTCCAACATGAATATTTTGCCAATTTCTGAAATAAAATCGGCAATGACATGACCTCACATCATATTGACTGGAACTTTTTATTTTTAGATTGGAGGCTTTGATTAGGATTGCCAAAGTTAACCTCCCCAAACATCACCAATCGCGGGCTACCAAACCGCCATATTAAAATTATTCCGGACTGACACTGATGGTTGACATAATATTTACAAAATCTAAGATCATAATCTTGACTCTTGCATGATACCAAAATCCTCCATTAATCTGGAAACTTTTTTCTATAAAATAAAAATGGTGAACAATTATATTGAGTTGTAGTTGAGTTGTCATCGGAGGGGAAATCAGGCTGGGAAATTTTGGAAAAAGAAACTGGTTAGACATGAAATCGACGGTGAATTACTTGGCTATTGAGTACAACTCCGTGCGGCTGGAGCAGGGAGCGGGAGCGGCGGAAGTTGTGACAGAGAGAGAAATTAAAGGAGATGGTGTTTGCACTTTGCAGAGAAGAGAAGGAATTTTATTGTTGCCATCACTAATGACGCGAGTAGGAGAACGTACTCCGGAGTGTCACCGGTGAGAGCGTGTTTCAGGTTCATCGTTTACGGAATTTGTTTCTCCTCCTTTTTAATCAGCTACCTGGAAATTAATCGACCATGTACACTAATAAACTGGTTAAACTAGTAACAGGTTTCTTTTTTATAATTAAGTGTATTAAGGTTTATGTCCTTATGAAATACCCTTATTTTAATCCTACGGTTTTTAATTAATCTAATTAATCCTACGATTATTATTTTAAAACAGAACCATCCCGTAACAAGACTCTAGCCGCTCCTATATATATACATATATATATAGGGAAAGGATACAGTGCAGTCGACTGTACGGTTCAGTCAATAATAATAACCATTAGATCAAGGAAATTAATTATATATGTCCATCAGACCAAAGAGGACGCACCATAAAAGATAATAAAGTTTCAAAGACCATATAATGCTCTACGACAAATAACCTACTCAACCGGTTGTTATTACGGTATCATCACCTCTTTTTCCCTTTTTCCTCTCTCTTTCAATTGATAAGTTATTATTGATTGGTTTCTCGTAAATTTGAAAGGAAGAACATTTAATTAATGCTAATTTTGAGATGAACACGATACTGTTAATAATCAGAATTTTGATTATAAACTCAATCCAGATCACAGGCGATCAGATTTTCAATTTCCAAGAGCATCAATGACCTTGACGGGGATTTAACAAAGGTGTAGAGAATTCTGTCTACGCTGATATGTGGTGTTCCGTGAATAATGGCCGTTTGATTCAATTTGCCAATGGTCTGTTGGGAATGTCATTTCCCCATAAATGTTGAATTTGATTCATCCCCAATCACAAGGTTCAAGATGGAATTTTGAATTATGATTTCAGAAAAAATGGGTTGGCATCAATGAAGGTGAATCCTTGGTTGTCAGCTTATGCAGATAAGCTGGAGATGGTTGCGGCGGCCATAGAGGAGCTGTTAGAGTTTAGAAGGAAAAAGTCCCCCGCACTGTCGCCGTCAACACTACCTCCGTCATCTCGCGGCCCTTCTTCTTCCTAAAATTCATGAACCAAAATCAGTGATGCACTCTTTCTTTCCCCCAACGGCTAAACAATATAAAGAATTTGATTTCACAGAGTTAATTTGTCATGCACATGAAATAATGAATTCTAATTTATTTGTAATCTTTCTTACAATTTACAGATAGTGGATGATGTTATTCATGATACTGTAATATTTCCAAAGATTTATAAAAACTCTCGAGAATACTGTTAGTTTCACACCATTGTTATCATCTTTAATTATTTTTAGTTTCACATCATTGTTACCATCTTTAATGAATTCTTAAAAAATATAAAACTTAATAAAAATTATCTTGGGGCATGCTACCATGTTTCTCACTTCATGAACACATGTTATGGATGTTTCTTTTCTCTCTCCTCGTTGAGAGTACTTCTCTCTTTTAGTTGAGAGTATTGCTCTCCCCTTAGGCGGGAGTTTTTTTTTTCATCTTGTTGGCCTTTCAAAATTCAAATTTTTTCAAGTTTTTGGGATCAAAATTGCATCAGAATTTATGATATACAACCGAAGTGTTTGAACCTTTATAAGTTTTCAAAAAACATAAATTACTCTTGAGTACTATTTTGTCATTTATTATGCCCAAAGTCAATTAGTTCAGCAGCTCATTTAATGTTTTATAGTGGGATTTGGTCAAAAACTATTCTATAGTGGGATATAGGAACCCTTGTTGTTAACGTCCATTTAATATTCCCCCTTTCACACCGTTTTTGGTTTCTTTCTGAGTGTTTCCAAAATCAAATCTTTCGACATTGGACTTCTCTGTAGCAGTCAAAATTTGGGATAGTGGTAGACACAGGATGGAGGGGGATTTTATCAAAAGGTTTGAGACTTTCTCACTGTCAACAAACGAGAAGAAAGGGGTGGATCTAGGGGATGGGGATACGAAAAAAAGGGATGAAAAAGGGGAATCGTAGTCTGGTGGGAAAGGTTTTTGGGGAGAAGAAGGTGAATTTTTTTGGGGTAAAAAACGCAATGGAGAAGTCATGGAAACAGAAGGGGTTGATTGAGGTCGAAACTTTACAAGCTAACACTTTCCAATTCGTCTTTGCTAGTGAATCGGAGAGAGATGTGGTACTGAGACAATGCCCTTGGTCCTTTGATAACCATTTTTTGGTCATTGGGAAGTGGGAGAACAACATAGATTATGTGGCAGATTCTTTCAATTTTATGCCTATATGTATCCAGATCTGGAACGTTCCTAGCCATTGGATATCGAAAGAAACTGGTTGGAAGTTGGGAGCGATGGTGGGAACGGTTAGGGATATTTTGATTCCAGATGTTGGAGGGTCTAAGCATCGACATATCAAAGTCCTTGTGGAGATGGACTTAAGGAAACAGTTGGAGAGAGGGACACTGCTCTGATACAAAGGGAAAGAGGTATGTGTTGCTTTTAAGTATGAAAATTTAGCTGGTTTCTGCTACTGTGGTCATATTGGCCACTCTGAAAAGCTGTGTGTAGTAAGGGCTAGAGATCTTGACAATAACTGTTTGAAGGAGGAGGAATTTGGGTAGCGGTTGAAGGCTGGGTATTGGAAAGAGGAGCGTAGAGAGGTGCATGAGAATAATAATGGGGTATATGTGTTTAAATCTTTAGTAGATAAGGGACTGAATAGATCTGAGGAATTGAGGGTACAACTGCGAGATGGGGTGGAGCTGGAGAATGGAAATGTAAAAGCCAGGGAGAAGGGAGAGACGAGTGGGGTGACTTTGGAGGAGAAGAAGGCAGACCAGCAAGTAGGAAGGCTGGAACAGGAGGCTGATGGCAGCAAGAAATCGTGGGCTGAGATAGTGGGCATGGGACATGAGGGAAAGGAGAGAGGGGAGGTGGGAGGAGTGGATTATAAGGTGGGTCTGGGAGGGGGATTCAAGCTTGGTACAACACTGGCTGATCTTATGCGAGAGGCAAAAGAAGCAGGAAAGATCCCGGTGTATAATGGTGGGGAAGGGGAAAAGAGACGTACGTATCCTCTTCAAGATGAAGTGATTGAGGATATAAACTCTGAAGATGAGAAAATTTATGAGGAATATGAGCAGAGAGTAGCAAGAAGGGTTTTAGGAGATGTAACTAATCTTCCAGAAAAGATTGCTACTCAAAAGGAGGAAGCAGGTAAGAAGAAGGGGCAGTGGAAGAAGAGAGCAAGGCTAGAGTTGACAGGGCAAGAGGGAGGGTGAGTTAGAAAAGATGTCATTATGAAGGAAGTGGAAGGGAAAAGTGGCAGAGATTAAATAAATGGGTGGAGAGGGATGGAGGAGAGCAACTGGAAACGTATGAAAAGTTCTAAGATGTCTGATAAGGAAAAAACAGATCTGACAAAAAAGGTGGGGGTAGCCAGCCTTGATTGGCTCCAAGTTTCCCAATGAGGACAATCTCGTAGAACTGTAGGGGACTGGGAAGCTCCTCTACAGTTTCACAACTAAGAGAGTCGTGTCGACTCTATAAACTGTCACTGTTATTCTTATGTGAGACAAAATGTAAGAATAGATTTGTTAACACTGTAAGTAGGAAAGTAGGGTTTAAGGATAGGTTATTTATGGTGGAACAATTGGGAAGAAAGGGTGGTACGGCAGTGGGTTGGAGTGAGGAGGTGGTTGTGTATGATATCTTATCGTCTGAGTTTAGTATAGAGGTTTAGTTTGAGACTCATGAAACAGGAGGGAAACTTTGGGGGATTTTTGTTTATAGTAGTACGGATGAAGGGGAAAGGAAAATTCAATGGCAGAGACTGCTTAATAGGAGCAAGGATTGGGGAGGAGATGGTTTATTGGAGATGATTTTAATGATATAGGGAATGGTACTGAGAAGAGGGGTGGGAGGATCAGGAGAACTGGTAGGTTTTTGGGTTTCTGTGACTTTATAAGGGGGATGGAGATGGAGGAAGTGGATTTTGTGGGGAGGAATTGGACTTGGGCCAACAACAGAGATGGAGAAGGCTTCATAGAGAAATGTCTTGATAGATTTTTTGGTTCAATTGCATGGCTAGTAGAAAATGGTGAGGCTAAGGTGTTACATGTTGAAGGACACTCCTCAGATCACTGTATGCTGGTATTAGACACAAAACCAGAAACCAAAAGGAAGAAGTCAAGGTTTTATTTTGACAAGCGATGGATTGGGAAATCAGGAGTAGAAACAATCATTAAGGATGCCTGGTCAGGGTCAGCTGAGGGCTCTCCTATGCATCAGCTGGTAGTTAAAATTAAGAGGTGCAGATTAGAACTCCTGAAATGGAGTAGGGGGCAGAATTTGAACCCTAGTAGGGAGATTAAGAGAATCTCGGGGGAAATGGATGGATTGAAAGCACAAGGGGGAGCTAGGGATTGGGATAAGTGGAAAAGATTGAAAGAAGAACTTGGTAAAGCCTATGAGGAGGAGGAATTGTTTTGGGCTCAAAAGAGTCAAAACACTTGGCTTAAGGAGGGGGATAAGAATTCAAAGTTCTTCCTTGCAACAATGTAACAGAGAAGAAAGGTTAATAGGATTGAGAGGTTGGAGAAAGGGGATGGCTCTTGGTGTAAAACAGATAAGGAGGTGGAGGATGAGATAGGGGGCTTTTATGAGAATTTATTTAGATCAGAAGATGTCGGGGGGAGGGGTGGGAAACAATGTTAGAAGAAGTGCCTACCACTATCTCAGCTCAGATGAATGCTGCATTGATCAGGCCAGTGGAAGAGGAGGAGATTCTAGGAGCATTATTCAGTATGCATCCTGATAAAGCCCCAGGTATCGACGGCATGACTCCACATTTTTTTCAATCTTACTGGCATATTATCAGAGTAGATTTTTGTAATGCTGTCCTAAGTTTTTTTAGATCTCACTGCATGCTAAAGTCCTTGAACTATACACTTATATCATTCATTCCAAAGATACAAAATCCCACAAAAATAGCTCAATATAGACCTATTAGCTTATGCACTATATGTTGTAAAGTTATTTCTAAAATCTTGGCCAACAGATTGAAACCTTTTCTGCCTGTTTGTATCAGTGATAACCAGTCTAATTTTCTGGCTGGTAGACAAATACTAGATAATGTGACCATAGCATATGAATTTATCCACTACTAAAACAATGTAAGAAATAAGAAAAATTAGTATATAGCTCTCAAATTGGATATGGCTAAAGCCTATGATAGGGTAGAATGGAGGTTTCTAGCATGTATGCTTATTCGAATGAGTTTTGACCTTCAGTTTGTGGGTTGGATAATGTAATGTATACAATCCTCCTCCTTCTCTTTTAATATAAACGGGGAGATGAAGGGTTTTGTGAAACCATCTAGGGGAATTTGGCAAGGAGACCCACTGTCTCCTTACCTCTTTTTGATATGTTCTGAAGCGTTTTCCTGTTTTATTAAAGCAGCCGTTAGGAGAAATGAATTAAGTGGGGTGAAGATTAGTGAGAATGGACCTGAAATAACCCATTTATTTTTTGCTGATGATGCATTGCTTTTCTTAAAAACTGATATTGCTCATGTAAAATGTCTTAAAAACCTGATGTTTGATTATGGAAGATGTTCTGGTCACAAAGTTAAACGGGACAAGTCTACTATTTTTTTTAGTAAAAATATTTCAGGAGTGAATAAACAGTTGATTTGCACAGAGCTTAATGGCATTGGAGTGCAGATAAAATCGAAATATTTAGGCTTGCCAGTGGTGATTGGAAGATCCAAAGCTGAAGTATTCAAGTATGTAGAAGTGGGTGTCGTGAAGAGGATTAATAACTGGAAGAATAAGTTGCTTTCCCCTGCAGGTAAAGAAGTACTACTGAAATTGGTTGTGCAAGCTCTACCGGTGTATGCCATGTCTTGTTATAGACTTACTGCAAGTATCTGTAATAGGATAGAGGGGAGTATGGCTAGATTTTGGTGGGGGGATGGGGATGAGAAGAAGAAAATACACTGGAGGTCGTGGGATAAACTGGCATGTAAAAAAGAGGAAGGGGGTTTAGGGTTTGGGGTTTGGAATCAATGAATAGTGCACTATTGGCTAGACAAGTCTGGAGATTGATAACTGAGCCCGATTCACTAATGGCTAGAGTTAGGAAGGCTAAATACTTCCCAAGGTGTTCTATTTTTCAAGTCCAATAGAAGGGTAGTAACTCGTGGTTGTGGAAAGGATGGCTAAGTGACAGGGAAGTGGTCCAGCAAGAGATGTAGTGGAAGATTGGGGATGGGAGATTTACTAGCATATGGACTGATAACTGGTTACCTCCTAAATGTACTGTAGAGCCACAAAAAAGAGGAACAAATGTACAAAGGCTTCATACAGTGGCTCAACTCATTGATACTGTTTCGAAACAGTGGAAAGTGGATACCTTGCAGCAGTTGCTTATCCCATAAGAAGTTCAATTTGTTCTCAGAATGCCACTAAGTCAGTTTGGAGGGAAGGATGTGTTAGTTTGGAACAAAGAAAGAAATGGCAAGTTCTCAGTGTCCTCAGCTTTTAAGTTGGTGGAAGATCAGAAGCTGAGACGGAGGGGGTCTTAAGAATCAAGTGGTTGCAGAGAAAAGAAGAAGAAGATCTGGTCTAAGACATGGCAGCTAGCTTTGAAGCCTAAGCTTAGGCACTTTATCTGAAAAATGTTTAAAGGATGGATCCCGGTGAGTATAACTTTGCAAAAGAGGGGAATGGCAATAGATGGGATTTGTAAAACCTGTGGACAAGGCCAAGAGAATCTGGAACATGTTCTGTTTACTTGTGATTTTGCAAAGTTAGTATGGCAATTGTCCCCAGTTAATTGGGAAGGGTTGCAGGGTTGGAATGGTTGCTTCCAAGATTGGTGGAGTAATTTAATACTAACTGCACAAGGTAATTAGATGCACTCCTAGATTGAGATTACTGTTTATGTATTGTGGCACTTATGGAAGGCCAGGAATTCATGGCATTTCGGTGGGAACAGGATAGAGGCTGTGGATGTGATTCAGAAGGCAATGGTGGAATGGAATGAGTACTTTCTAGCCCAACAGAAAAAGAAACCAGCCAGGATGGCCACTGAGGAAATATATGAAGTTCAAGGTTGGAAGGGACCGGAAGATGGTCTAGTGCGTATCAATGTAAGTTCAGAGATGGATGGAAGTAGTTCAACTGCCGGCTTGAGATACTGCTTGAGGAAAGTAGGAGGAAAATTGATCGTGACAAAAGCTATTTACAAGCACCATGTTCAAAACTCCCTTGGTGCAGAAATGGAGGCTGTTAGGGAGGGGTTGAAAGAAGCTCAGAAGCTTAAGGTACAGAATAAAGAAGTCCAACTTGATGTTAAGGGTATGGTTACTTGGTTATAAGGGAGTATTGTCCATGTTTCAGATGTAATAGCCATCGTCAAAGACATCTCTTGGCTTAAAACTTGCTTTGATAGTTGTAGGTTTTTGTACATTAGAAAAGAGTGGAATAGTGTTTGCCACAATCTGGCCAAATGGGCTATGTCTAGTACTTGTACACAATGTTGGATTCAGAATATCCCATTGTGGTTAGACGAAGCATTTAAGGCGGATTGTAATATCTCTTTTTAAATTTCGTTGTGGTATCCTTTGAAGAATGAAATGAATATCGCTTTTGACAAAAAAAAAAAAAAAAAGTCTGTTAGCCCCTTAAAAATTTTTCTCGGTAACACACGCCTTGGAGGCTGAGGCCGGGCGTGCAGACGGGCGGATGTGAGTTCCTGCCCAAGGCACTTGAGTAGTGCAACGGCCCTTATGCGGGAATGCGGGATAATCATGCGAGACGGTTAAGTGGGAACCCGAGCTGAGATAAACAACATTGCAGCACGGCCCCCAGGTGCAACCCGGAGACGAGGTTTGCCGGAAGTAGCTGGGAGCTTCTAGAACCGCGGGACCCGTTCGGTGGACCCGTTTGGTACACTGTGGACAAATGCATGTCAGCCAAGGTGTAGGCTTGCATGTTAGAGTTGCTGCCAAGATGTGCCAATGCATGTTGTAGCTTTGTAGACCAATGCATGTAGGTCATTTGTTGTAATGCATGTAAGGGTATTCCCTCCCCATTCTTGTAGAAATAGGGGCCTTGGCTCATTTCAAGGCATAGAGAGTGGAGTTGTAAGCCTTCTTGAGTTAAGAGCCTTTCCTTGTGTTTGAGTAATAATACAAGGTTGAGCCGGGTTTCGGCTTGTATTTCTCGAGTCCCTTTTATTTCCGCTTCTGCCTTGTCCCTAGTTTTCTCGGTCACGTCCCCTGGTTTTCTCGGGTAGCCGGGCTGTCCCGAGTTTACCGAGTTTTCTCGGTCCCGTTCGGTTGCCGGTTAACGTTTCCCTGCATTCCTCGGTAAGGTGCGTGCTTACCCGAGTTTTGCTACATTTCTCGGTTAGCTGAGTGCTTGTGCCGGGACCTTGCTGCTTTTCTCGGTAAAGCCGGTTGCCTGCCCTGAATTTGCTACATTTCTCGGTCAAGCTGGTTACTTGTTCCGGGCACTCTGATTGCCGGGTCTTGCTGTGTGCTTTTCCCGGGTTAAGGTGTTTGGTTGTCCCGGGTCTTCTTGTGCGGAGAAAGAAGGCCGGTGACAATTCTGGTATCAGAGCCCCAGGTTCGTGGGGCTTGAGCTGCCGTTGAACGCCTTGGAGGCGACCGTTAAGAAGATACAGCGCATCCTTGGGACGGATGACGACCAAGTAAGTTTCTTTGAACGGGTTAGTGACCTTGCAGACCGCGTGGAAGCCTTAGAGAGACGGGCTTGCGGTGAAGGCACGTCGTCCTCCAGGTTGGGAACAGACAATGCCTTAGAATCAGTTAAACAGGACGTGCTCATCCTCAAGAGAACAATAGAGAAGTGTAGCACATGGTTGGAACGGGAAGAGGACCAGAGAACGGTGGAGTCACTGGTTCAAGATGTGGTGTTGCTAAAACGGGCACTAGCAAGTAGCATGCCCGTGGGTGAAGAACCTGCCCCTAAAGTACCGTTGCCTTCAACATATGATGGGAAACGGGAGGCCAAAGAGTTGGAGACCTGGCTGTGGGATATGGAGCAGTATTTCACGACGGCTAAGGTGAGAACACATGTTATGGCCTCAATCATGATTGGTTAAAATTTAACAGTATGGTTCAGTAAAAAAAGCAGCTGGACTCTAAAATTTCCCATATATATATATATATATTATTACTATTGTGCAATCCATAGTGGAAAAAAGTAAAATAAATATGGGTTACGTGTAATGCTGATATGACAATTGTATTATACAATGGTGATATGAACAATTGTGGAAAAAAAAAATTCTTTAGTTAACCAAAATTTCACTCGTTAATTGAAAGGGGGAAAAAACACGATTGCGAACTGTTTGTAAGCTATTCTTGTATTGTACCTTGTGAAAGAAGTGAAAATAGTTGTGATTTACATCAGTTTGAATTTCAAATTGCACGACCCGGCCTGCTGCCGATGTAGAAAAGCGCGGGAGGCCCATCTATTTGCTCGGCCCGCCCAATTTGATTATTTGTTCGATCATTAAAAAATCTTTCATCATCATCGGCCGCGCCACCCGCTAGCACTATACTACTCAATCAAACATACCAAACTGAAAATTTTCCGTTTTTTTTCTGCACTCCGGTAGATTATATTTGGCATTTTGCTTCCAATTACTTACTCCGAATGCACAGAAATTCAACTGTTTATGGTTGGCTGGGCCGCTGGGGCAGTAATCAACTGAAGGCAGGCTAGCTGTTTGTAAAATTGCCCCACTGATGATTGAACGTTCTTTTAACGTCGAATTTCTGGAAATATCGAAGGCCCATTGAGACTTTGCGGGTTTTGAGTTCATTGGCAGAGTTATTGGATGGAAAACAAGTTAAGGAGTGAATGTAATTCAATATCAGTATTCTAATCGGCCATCGAAAGCTATAAGGTTTGGGATGTTGGCCTCGTGGGTTCGATCCACTTCATCTAGAAAGAGTCGTTCTTGTGCGGTAATATCAAGAACAACTTTTTCACAGAGCCGAAAGAGTAACCCAGTTCATATATTTGGGAAGAACAGCAAGGAGAGAACTCATTTCCAAGCGAATTATAGCTCAATTGAATTTAGGCATAAACAAGGTTGGAACTAAACTATGCACCATCATTGTGATTGCTGTTGTGGAAAAAGCCTGTACTCTTCACAATCTGAGTGAATTAGACTCGAAACACCATTTTGTCATTCTTGCTATTGATATTTAATATGAACACTCCTGTTTTACTCTTTGTTGCTAACATGACTTCTGCCTTTCATGTTGTTGAATTCATAATTAATTTCTGTTTACTATTGATTATGGTTGTTCATTATCTTTACTTCATTGTCTAGCAGAGAGTGAAACCAGAACAGTATGTTGGTGGGAAAATCACTGCAGTTTGGTTGCTCTTTCTCAAACTTTGGCGTATCAACATATGCGGAAGTTTTGTTCTGTTCGGGGCCAGGATAGTCTAAACGAAACTTTGGAATATCCTGTATCAACCAACAGTATCAATATTGATGTGAATGCTGAAGATAAGAAAGATGTCCCAGTTAAGCCTAAGAAAAGGGAACCAATTGATTTTACCGAGATTGATATCAATAAGCTTCCAACTGTGCTTCTGATAGGGCGACCAAATGTTGGCAAGTCTGCATTGTTCAATCGGTTAGTTTTCTTTATGATTTAAATTTTCTAGGTTAGATTGTTTGAATGTTTTGATAACATCTATGCGACCATGACTTTGCTTGAACTTATATCTGTTTCTGGTATGATAGATTAATACGGAGGAGGGAGGCCCTTGTGTATAATACACCAACAGACCATGTTACGCGGGACATTCGAGAAGGGGTTGCAAAATTAGGTGATTTGCGGTTTAGGGTTTTGGATTCTGCGGGTTTAGAGGCTGAGGCCTCCTCTGGTTCAGTGCTTTCCAGAAGTGCTGCTATGACTAAACATGTGTTGGCAAGATCTCAGTTTGCTCTCTTCCTTATAGATGGAAGGTTAGTGCTTATGACTGTTGTCCAATGGATGCATAAGAGTAGTTCAAAACCTGGTATATCTTATACTCCAATACCTGCTGAAACTTTTTTTGTATATGCAATATCCATAACTTGATTTAATAGGTAGGATGAGGTTATTATGTTTTTGAGGCACAAACTTTTGCCTACATATCATAACTGGAAATGTAGGATCTTGGAAATATCCAGCTTTTATGACTAATATTACTGGGCAATGCTATAAGAAAGAGAGTTTAAATGTTCTACGGAAATTGACAAGAGACTTTATGCCCATCCATTGCAGAATTATTCACTACAACATGTGGAATCAGAGCCCATTTAGTTTCAGTTGAATATTTATATGTGATTTTAAATAGGATCCAGTCATGGGACTACTCACAGGAAAATCTCTAGTCTCTCTGCTGGTACTTTTTATCTTTCTAGGCCCTACTATGGTTTCTGTTCCGAAAACTTAATTCTCTATCAAGTTCAATGATGACATTTTGAGGAAAATTTTGACTGCCTTCTTATTTATCATGGCTGGACGAATTTACTAAACTCTTTTCCTACAAATACCAGACTTCTTGACTCACCGACTGCTAACTTTTAACTTGTAAGATATCGTTGCAGATGCCAGTATACAATGTTCCTAATTCCCGCACCTGAAATCATATTGCTCATGTCAGAAATATAGTTGAGTAATGGTATAAGTATTTTAAAATGAAGGAGCTAAATGCTAGCATAGAGTATTTTTATTTTTTATCCTCCTGCCACACTGCATGGCAGAACCTCTGAATCATAGTTGAATACCATTTGTTAATAGCTTCTAGTTTGGAGCATTAAATGCACTGACACTGCTACGAAAATTTTTGGGCAAACTTATATATCTAACCTGATGTTCCGACGGGTACTTAATTTAACTGAAGCAAATTTCAGTTTTGTTTAAATTAAGCAAATTTCCAACATAATCTAAAAGCTATGGTTTCTGTTATCAGAGATGGGTTACATGACATGGATTTGGATGTGGGGAAATGGTTGAGAAAGCATGCTCCTGGGATCAAAACGACTGTGGTAATAAACAAATCGGAAATGCTTGATGCATTTTCTGGTTCTCTTGACGCTGCTATAGGTGAAGCTTGTTCTCTAGGATTTGGAGATCCTGTGGCTTTGTCTGCTGAAACTGGGTTTGGTCTGTCGGAGCTTCATGAAGCTCTAAAGCCATTGCTTGAGGAATATATGCTTCAAGAATCCTGTGAGTGACCTGTTATTGTTGCGTTTCATTGCAATAATGTTGTCCTTTTAAGCTTCTCAACGCTTCAGAACTTATGAGTGCTTCCCATTGTCTGTTTATCTTAATAGCGAGCGCACAAAATTCAGGTGAAGATACTGAAGTCACTCACCCAGACGGAGATGAGCATCCCATGGTCGGGGATGCTAAATTGCCACTGCAATTGGCTATTGTGGGGAGACCAAACGTGGGAAAATCAACTTTGCTCAATGCAATATTAGAAGAAGATCGTGTTTTGGTGGGACCAGAGGCTGGCCTTACCAGGGATTCAATTCGAGTTCAATTTGAGTATGAAGGAAGAACCATATATCTTGTGAGTAATCATTATTTCATTCTGTATACTGCTCTCTCCAGCAATCTCTTACATGTTCTTTTTCAGCACTCTGCCACGGGCAAATATCATTATGTCTCTAAGAGCCCTTCCGCTTTGTTGTACCCTCATGTTTGATTGCTTAATTGGTCAAGTGTTCTGCTGCTGAAATCTTTGGATTGATTTTATTTGCTTGGTATCTGAAATCAAACCTAAAGTCTCCAGCTTAGAGCTTCTGCATTCTTTCCCAAAAAAAATCATGTAGGTTTAGGAGTCTCAGGCCAGCGGGCAGTTAGCACGTCTTCGGTCTTAGAGAACTGATATAGAAATTGGTGTGATGATGGGACTAATTCTACTGGTTTTGCGCCTTTTTCCGCATCTCTCTTTTTTTCTTGCATTTTCTTCCCTTTTGTTCATTTTTGGTTATCATATAAAATTCTTTCATGAATCCATCCCACTACCATTTGCCTCTGCAATTTTCCCTCCGTATTTCAGATTTCCAAAAGTGCTATCAACTTCTTTCGTTCAATTAACATTATGTTCTTTTTTTTCCCTCCTTTTTCATGTAGTCACTTGAGTAGTATAGTTCACTTAAGTTGATAAGTGATTGTGCTTTTATATTGCTTTCCTTCACCCATTTGCTTGTTTTTGCACGGCTGGTGCATGAATCTATTGATATATTAGTTTGTTGGTTACTGATTTACTTTTTTCAGGTTGACACTGCAGGTTGGCTGGAAAGGACACACCAGGAGAAAGGACCATCATCATTGAGCATCGTGCAATCGAGGAAACACCTTATGAGAGCCCATGTGATTGCATTGGTTCTTGATGCAGAAGAGGTTTGCCTTAGAATACAACCTTCTCTGTGAAAACCAAAGATAGTTCATATATAAAGATAAATTAGTTTGTAACTGATGCTAGACTAAAGACTGACAACTACCAAGTTGTCCAACTTTTAGCCTTTCAACTTAGGCTGGAAAACTTCATTCCAAGCCCTTAGTTAAAATCAAGTCTTACGGTTGTGTGTGGGGGGGCGCGAGTGGAGAATATGGTATGCATATATATGTTTTCAAAATAGTTGTCTTTGTCAAATTGCTGGCAGCTTTGTAACGGGTACAATCTCGATATGGATTGATTAGGGCTCAAAACTAGATTCCTGCTTTTAAACTGGGTTGCTAACAGTCAGCATTCTACTCATAGTTACATCTCTTGTGATTTCTCTGATTCTTAGATTTCCCGAGGAAGACGGAGCATGAAGCATGCTGAAGTAGTCATAGCAAGACAAGCAGTGGAAGAAGGGCGGGGTTTAGTCGTCATCGTAAACAAGATGGACCTTTTTAAAGGGCAAGAGAATAAGAAGATCTATGACTCTATAGTTAAGGCTGTACCTGAAGAAGTTCAGACGATTATACCACAGGTTTGTCAATAGAAGCGTTCCAGTTTAGTGTTACTTCATTTGACTCAATACCTCGATCTGGTGTGTTGGTTATCTTAGTTATCTGTAAAAGAAATGTTTTTTTTGGGGGGGGCGAACTAAAAGAAATGTTTTCAAATTGACATAGGCACTTTTGAATTAGATTCTCTCTCTCTTAATTTTGGGAATGTGGTTGAGACTTGACAGGCACCATATCTTTAATTGTCCGTTAAGTGAGTATTAAACCTTGCCATTGAGAAACCATGGGCAAGCTATTCTCTAGGAGCTTAGCTTACAAGCTTGTGAATTCTTTTGTCGCATCTTTCTGGTCTAAGCTATTCTCTAGGAGCTTAGCTTACAAGCTTGTGAATTCTTTTGTCGCATCTTTCTGGTCTAAGCTATTCTCTAGTATTAAACCTTGCCATTAAGAATTGCCATGTTTTGTGCAGGTGACGGGAATACCTGTAATCTTCGTTTCAGCCCTGGAAGGACAGGGGAAAATTGATGTCATGCACCAGGTAGTGGATACATATGAAAAATGGTGTTCTCGGTTAACAACAGCTAGGCTTAATCGCTGGTTGTTAAAGGTAACTTCTCAAGTTTCTTCATGTTGAACATTTTAGAAGAGAAATGCATTGACTCGACCTTGGTGTGGCAGGTAATGAGCAGACATTCTTGGAAAGATCAGTCTTCTCAACCGAAGATAAAATATTTCACTCAGGTAAAGGCAAGACCGCCAACTTTTGTAGCATTTGTGAGCGGCAAGAAGCAGCTCTCGGATACAGTCTTGAGGTTCCTAACGAGGTCATTGAAAGAGGACTTTGATCTGGGAGGGATTCCTGTCCGGATAATGCAGCGTTCTGTGATAAAAACCACGGATTCTAAGAAAATCGTGCACAAGAACCAACCAACGCCCAAAAGGATGAAAATGAGATCCGACAAGAGAAAGCAAGTTACAAAAGATGACAACAGCATCGCAGGATAGAAAAGACGGCCTATATATTTCTTTTGTGCCGTGGAGGGTTGGAGATAGCGAAGAATGAAAGATTAAAATCTCATGTTTTATTCGTGTAAATTTTAGTTTATTAGTTTCCGTTAAGATTTGTACTATATTTTAAAGGCACGAGGACATGTAAAGGAAATCGGTCGGGGGAAAATGAATGACACACATGGTTTTTTTTTTGGGTTAAAGAATTATAGTGTTATTAGTATAAGTCTCATACTTCCATTCCTCTTTTGCCTTATTCAAGCTTAAATCAAATTACATGTTCAAGTAGTCAAAGATGCATAAAATCTTTTAAAACAAACTTATACAATTGTTCTCGCTTCAATGTGCAAATAATAATTAGTACCGACCTTCTTCCAAAAAAAATAATTAGTACTGACATAAGTTGAAGAAGAAGATAGTCAATCATACAAAACTAAACATTTTCTATGTATAACTGAAAGCATTTGTCGCGAGAAGCAAATGAAAACTTCAATATAAGCCAGCTAGTCACTTGAAATGGAACTTCCACACCTCCCGGACATTTGATGACCCATCTGCAACCTCGGCAACCAATTCTGCTGACATAACACCTAAGACAAAAAGATTTAAGGTTAGAGACCATCACAAAAGCATATATTCAGCACACATTTTTTAATTTTTGTACCATATACAAACCCCAAACACCGCATTTTGTTCTTTTCCCTAAGAACTGCATGCGGATCATCTTCCTTTGTTTTTGTTTTTATTTTCAAAAAATAAAAATAAAAATCAGCTTTTGATGTATCTTACAACATAAAGGCTGACAGGACACAGTTCCGAAACAGGAAATCGGCTTCTAATAAGTTATATGGATTCCATGAGCCAACCTCAATAGTTCCAAAAGGTGCTGTAAAATATACAGAATGTATTTCAAAGAAGTTGTTATGGATCAGAAAGTTTCAGAAGCTAGTTTCAGCCTAAGACCGATGGGGACACTGAGTTCAGGAACTTCTTAGTGAATTGCTAGCAACCCTCTGAATCCACTAGTTGAATGGACTAACATCGTGCATTAGGTAGAGAACTGAATAAGGAAGCTTCCACTTACCATCTTTCTCTACAAAAGAAACGAATTTCCTTGATCCTCCCCCAACTCCAAAATAATACTTCTTTGCTGCCATATAAACGACTCCATTAGGCCTATTCAAGCTCTGTTACAAGACAAATTACATAAGAACATCAGCATTGCACAAATACTTTGGATTCCAGTTCAGAAATCTTAAAAAGATGAAAGTAAAAGCACCTTCTTTATGAGGTCATAAAGTGTCGGGAAAGTATAGATTGCATAAACTGTCTCGGCCATCAGAATTATATCATAACCCATTGTAGTTACAGCCTTTTCATCGGGGTTCTTCCCACTGTCCTCAACATATATGTAAGGGAGAATCTGATGTACTTCACCCCAGTCACCCGCAAAGTAACGAGTTTCCAGATCATTGTTACATCGTGTCACATTGGTTTCCAGTGTCTGGGACGTAGTTTGAATGTTAGCATTCACATTTGGGATGGTAAGACTTTGCAGGACTTCTGCATTAAAATCCTGGAAGTGTACACAACTAGATCCCTAAAACAGAAGGAAATTACCATCAGTCCAAAGAAAAGGAACCATTTTAACGGTACTTATAGAGGACTGATAAGGCATATTTACCTTGAGGCAAGCAAAAATTCCAGGAAGCCCATGACCACATCCAAGCTGAAATCCAGAATAATAGAGTTATTGACATAATGCAAATTAATCCAGCTTGAGCCTTCAAGGTTCAAATTTCAAAAATCAAATTCAATCCAAATACACGACTAATAATTGCATTAGTCTTCATAAGTTAATATTCATCAGAAATCAGAATACTGTTTTTAGTGTATTGGTCAAAGAGAGGAAGCAAAATGGTTTACATCTAAATATATTAATGAGAAGAATTCACAACATAAGATTTACTTATGTAACTAGACCTAAGTTAACTCTAAGCTGAATAGCCCGAAAAACTTTAACAAAGCATTAAAGACAAAGTTAATCCTAGTTCTACCAAGGACCACAAATAGACCTGTTACATTAAAAGAAATCTTATAAACAAACAGTTAACCTTGAGGGGTGTTTAACTGCAATGATGAATCTAACCAACTGTTCTGGTAGTACAGACATTTTATCGAATTTAGGCATATGGTATTTAAGTTCATATAATCACACACCAATCAAAACACAAGCACACAGGCAACCAGAAGGAAAGTACAGAACACTTGCGACGCAAAGCACAAGAACAAAAGATAACAGAATAAATAAAGAAAACGGAAAGAAAGGGAAAGACAAGAAAAAGATTGCATGTTCTATGATGAATGGTTAATTAAAGCAGGAGACTTGAATAATCACCTCAGCTATTGAAGCCCACCTCTAAAACTCGTTTTCCAGTAAACGATAGTTTCCCCTCTTGCATCTCTCTGGAAAGAGTTTTCACCAAGTCCAATGAGCCTTCCCACAGTTTCAAACCCCCTTTTCAGATTATAACCAAAATAGTCATCAACAAAAAATCCAGAACTGAAGACTTGGAATGATTCCGTGTCAGTGCCAAAATAATGCATGCTTCACTCATCAGTGTGCTGTGTAAGTATGTCTATAAAGCGTAAATGGTAGGAAATTCAAAAATAGAACACAATTTTTACCATACCTTCATACTTCCCAGGGACTAAATCCAGATTAGAGAACTTGAAAACCTCCTTAGTATTCACCCTTCCCTATAAATAATGTAGCTCAACATCAAGCCTTTTATCATCTAATGATACTCAGGAATCACAAAATCAATCCTACAAAGTCATAAAAGTTAAGCAACTTTCCAATATTTCACAAACAGACACAATACCTTCGTTGAAAATCAAACCATAAACTGGCGCCAAAAAAAAAGGCAAAACAATTAACTGATTCCCAATTAAAAATTGTTTAAAGAAGCCAGAGAAAAAGAACAACTCTTTGCACCCAATACTGATGGCATTACCTTGAGCAGGGCAATCCCATCCAAATTCACAGTTTCTACAGTATATTTCACGCTTGGCAATTCCTGCTTTCACATTCACGCAAAACCCACCAAAAGGATTATCAAAATCAACAATTCAAAACCCACGAAGAAGAAAAAAAAAATTATTTGATAGCAAATAACTGAACCCAAAAAAAAGAAAAAACAAAGAATACCTGTGAGGGAATCACTTCAAGGCAAGGAGGCGGAGGAGGAACGGATTTTCCCGAAGATTGTTGAAAGTCTAAACCAAAACCAGTTTGTGGATTACCATCAAAGAGGCGAAATGTTTCGTAGTTTGAAGAATTTGACTTGCCTGCCTCCATTTTCGACCACCTCTTCTCTGAGCAGAGCTTCAAAAGAGATTCTCGGTTTCAGAGGTAAGGACGTGAAAAGAGCAGTCAAGTAATAGTAGGCTTAATGGGCTGAAGAATAATAATTTGGTGATGGGCTTTAGCACAATTAATTTAGTGTCATGCCCCTGGACCTAATTGTAGGGATTACAAATTATTGGGGCTAAATTGTAGTTTTCATATCTTACTAGACTATAAATAATTGTCAGGGACTTGTAAATCATTATCGAAAATATTGTATCAAACTGAAATTTTCAGTTTCTCTCCTTCTCCGTTCCCGACCCTAATTTTCTCCGGCCTCCTTCAATTTTCTCCGATTTCTGCCTTCCGACCCCTCCTCAGGCCACCGGGTCGTGACATTTGGTATCAGAGTGGACGATTCTCGATCGTCTCTATATCGGATTCACAGATTCTGATTCACTCTCTTCTTCCCCGTTCTATTCTTAAACCCTCTGAAATCTCTTGCTCCTCTTCCTTCTATTTTGAAATCTGTGTGTGTTCTTCGTTTCTATGATCGCACCAAACTTTCCTCCATCCCATTTCTTCATTTTTATCGATTAGTTGATGGGTTTCATCTTGTCCGACGAAACTCTACGCAGGTTTCAGAAAGAATTAACTCTTCCTTCATCTGAAATCCTTTCACCTAATCCGACAAAGTATAACCTCCCTGAACCGTCCTCAGACGGAATTCCCCTTTTTACAGACGAAAATGTCAGCCAGTGGATTGACAAAATGGAGCAACTCTTCTCCTTTAATTCCATACGGCCAGATTCAAAATTATTTATTTCGGAATTCTATTTAGCCAGAGAACCCTTGAGATTCTTGTACAGGTTAATCTCTGGTTCCCAATTATCGACGTGGGAAAGATTTCATTGTACACTAAAAGCATCCAAATGATCCATATTTATAGAGTTAGAGGAAACTCTTGAGAATTAGACGTAACCCTTGGTTATGGTCCTACACATAACTTTTCGTCAATGTCTTTTCATATGGAGTTCATAGGCACAACTTATTAGTTGTGTCTCTACAATATATTGAAAACACACAATAGGCACAACATATTAATTTTGTCCCTACAATATGTTAAAAATAACTCCAACAATCCCCCGCCATTTTCAATATATTGAAAATAATTTTTAAATGGATCTAGATAATTCCAGCAAAACCCATGCATAAAATAACGGTGTCGTTACACTTGAACCACTACCTTAGTGTCGGTTTCATAACTTGTACTACAGTCCGGTAGACTAGCTTTGAACCGTGCGTACATGTTACAAGCCACTATTGTCAACACACATAGGTTTCTTTCTCCTCAACTTGCCTGCACCTTACCAGTGCGTATGGTACGTAAGGTCTTGTACCCATATCTCTTCATGAATGTTAACAAAGCCAAATTCCAAGCTTTGTGGATGCCCGGTCCGACATTCACGTAGACAAACTTCTTACTGCTCCCGCCATTTTGGCATTTACAAGAGTTTGTTAAGAGTCAATTCTCAATCTGATACCCAACGTGATTTATACAGTACCAACTATTTTGGGATAAATATTGTAGTACTCAATTACTTGTACATTGTACTATCGCTCATTGAATTCAAGACTAGATTATTTGCTAGCGTTGAATTGAGGTTCCAATGCAAGTAATCATTTCTAGACTTTACACATATTCTTTTAAGTCATTCAGTCTTTAGACCAAATGTCTTTCAATACTTAGTCCTTACTTATGAGTTTGTTAACTCAAATTTTAAGGATCATCTCTTCACACGAGTCTATTGACTCAAATCTTGTTAAGAATTTAATTCTTAACATGAGTTCATTAACTCATCTTCTGATCACAATTTAAATAATAATGCATGCAAACTGTTAATTAATATGATCATATTTAAGAAATTGAAGAACCAGTCTGTTCTTTCAAATTTCGCAATCAACCCAACAATGAAATCGTCTTCCCTAATATGAAGTTTAGAAATCACCATGTCACGATTTTTTTCTTCATATTCCTGGAAAAATTAGCTCCATTTCTCTTGTTACAAGCATTTTACATATGAGCTCTTAGTGTCATTCTTTGTTACAATATGGTAGCTTTCCTAATACCTGATTCATTGTTATTTTAGTTGATATGATTTCGAACATGGACTTAATGCTTTGTCCATTTTCAACAATGTGGACTTAGGTCAAGGATCATTCTCCTTTTTAAACTTTAAAAGAGAGTTTTTCATTCTCTTCAAACTCTTTTATTATATATAAAGAGTTCCAAGTTTCCAAACATATAATCTCTTTTTTTTTCTTTGAGTCTCATGGAAACTTTAAAGTATTGACATAAACAAATCAAACATATAGTAAGACATGAATTTGAAATCATATATTAACACATATGATATAAATCCATAACTATATCACTATTGTCATACTACGTATCACATGAAATTATCATATAAAATGCAAATTCATTTATGCAATTAAATATTCCATATAACAAACACAAATACATGAAAATAGCACTTTATTGGGATCAAAGTTCTTTATTTGATTAACCCAAAATCAAATAATTAATATGTGATGCACTCACAAAAATTTTGCACACAAGAATTTATTTTATTTTATTTTGATTGTCTTAGGTTTCGGTCATTGACTTTTCTGTCGACTTTATCCAGGCGACAACTAAGTCGACGAGGCCAAACAGCCAAACACTTTAACAGATGTTGACTATTCTGTCAACTTTAATTCTATGGACGAACAAGTCGACAAAGGCAAATAGTCAGACATATCAACGAACGACAACTTCCATGTCAACTTTACTCTAGCCGACCAACAAGTTGATAAAGCCAAACAAAACACCGAATAAATTCCAACAGATTTCAACTTTATAAAAATTTATAACATGCACTCAAAGCACTATTGCTATATCAAATGCCAATTTTGCATTTCCATTTCAAAGCATGATAAAAACATGACAAAATTCTCTATCAAACATTTTATGACATACATTTTCTTAATTAATCATCACATTAATTAAGTATTTTATTTTGATAGAAACCACACATTTGGGCAATCAACAAATAATGCATAGTAAATTTCTTTTACATGCAAAAGTACATGAATTCTATAACCATGTTCCACTCGGGCATAGATCTCATCACTACGTTCATGTATTTATTAAATATATACATACCTTGAACTTGGAATGTCACCATTCACAAGTAAAATATACTTCTTACTTTGATGACGAGGTCCATTGTATCCTATCATTGCCCTTTCCAATAAATCAAATGATCTGTAACATTTCTACCATTTTCATGTGAAACAAAAATATCCTTGCTTGATTCTTCAAGTATTAGCCATTGTTTAACAGGAAAATTTAGCCTAAAGATTGTTGGAATTCTATTTCAAGAATAGTGGACAACAATGGTTGCACTAGATCAAAGAACAAGAGGAAGAATTTATGGTTAGGACAAAAGAAAGTTTTCTCCAACTCACAAGTAAACTTGCTTTCCTTTAGGCTAAATTCGCCCACTATACAGTGCAATTGCCTAGGCGAATTCCCTATGAGATAAAATAGAGATCATGTTATTTTACTATGCACTTTAGTGAACCAACAACCTGATACAAGGATAAGAAATGTCATTGGAAATATTCCAAGTATTTGGTGATTTCATTGTACACTAAAAGCATCCAAATGATCCATATTTATAGAGTTAGAGAAAACTCTTGAGGATTAGACGTAACCCTTGGTTATGGTCCTAGGCATAACTTTTCGTTAATGTCTTTTCATATGGAGTTCATAGGCACAACCTCTTAGTTGTGTCTCTATAATATATTGAAAACACTCAATAGGCACAACATATTAATTGTGTCCCTACAATATATTGAAAATAACTCCAACAATCCCCCGCCATTTTTAATATATTGAAAATGATTTTTAAATGGATCTAGATAATTCCAGCAAAACCCATGCATAAAATAATGGTGTCGTTAGACTTGAACCACTACCTTAGTGTCGGTTTCATAACTTGTAGTATAACCCGGTAGACTAGCTTTGAACCGTGCGTACATGTTACAAGCCACTATTGTCAACACACATAGATTTCTTTCTCCTCAACTCTCCTGCACCTTACCAGTTCTTTTCATGAATGTTAACAAAGCCAAGTTCCAAGCTTTGTGGATGCCCAGTCCGACATTCATATAGACAAACTTCTTAATGCTCCCGCCATTTTGGCATTTACAAGAGTTTGTTAAGAGTCAATTCTCAATCTGATAACCAACGAGAATTATACAGCGCTAACTACTTTGGGATAAATATTGTAGTGCTCAATTACTTGTACATGTACTATTACTCATTGAATTCAAGACTAGAGTATTTACTAGCGTTGAATTGAGGTTCCAATGCAAGTAATCATTTCTGGACTTTACACATATCCCTTTAAGTCATTCAGTCTTTAGACCAAATGTCTTTCAATACTTAGTCCTTACTTATTAGTTTGTTAACTCAAATTTTAAGGATCATCTCTTCACACGAGTCTATTGACTCAAATCTTGTTAAGAATTTTAATTCTTAACCTGAGTTCATTAACTCATCTTGTGATCACAATTTAAATAATAATGCATGCAAACTGTTAATTAATATGATCATATTTAGGAAATTGAAGAGCCAGCCTGTTCTTTCAAACTTCGCAATCAACCCAACAATGAAATCATCTTCCCTAATATGAAGTTTTGAAATCACCACGTCACGATTTCTTTCTTCATATTCTTGGAAATATTAGCTCCATTTCTCTTGTTACAAATATTTTACACTTGAGCTCTTCGTGTCATTCTTTGTTACAATATGATAGCTTTCCTAATACCTAATTCATTGTTATTTTTGTTTATATGATTTCGAACATGGACTTAATGCCTTGTCCATTTTCCACAATATGGACTTAGGTCAAGGATCATTCTCCTTTTTAACTTTAATAGAGAATTTTTCATTCTCTTCA